ATGATAAATTACATAATATAATAGTAATTGATCTTTATATTCATGGTTGGTTTATTATCAAATTATAGGCCATCAAACAAATATGTGTTATCAGAGATAAATATGAAAATCAAACTGCAGGTTCTAGTTCAAAATTACTAAATAAATATAATATAAAACAATGGCTTTTTTATCAACTGCTCTAAACCCAGTATTTCTTAGCATTTAATAATTTGATAGCGGAAGGATGTAGTTAACGATTTTTTTTTTCGACGATTTTCATGATTTTTTTGCGATAGATATCATGGTCTTCTAGATCATGTTAAAATATTAAGGCCCTACGACAAGTCGTTTAATTTTAAAAATTTGTCAAAGTTTGAAAAAATTAGTCGCCTTTTTTGGCGTTTGTCAAAATTAGGCCTTTAATCGACGTTTGCTCAAAAACGCCTGAACCGATTTAAATAATTTAAAAGCCATTCGATGTATAGGATAGATGTAGAGGACAATCGTTTCTCAGTCTTATCGTATTATTTTTAATAGCGAAAAAGTGTATAACTTTTCGTCCACGTTTTAGCTTGCAATCATGATTCGATTTTAAAAAATCAAAAACTGTTTGAAAAATATTTGTTTGAAATGATACTGATTAATTTTAGGTAATAATCCACCGAACCATTTTCTTGTAATTAACTGTTGAAAATTTTTTTTTGCTGACTTTCATGAAACTTTTGTTGGCAATTTCATATCACGGTCTTATAAAACATACTGAAATATTACGGCGCTACGACAAGTAGTTTAATTTTAAAAAATCATCAATGATGTGAGAGTCGATCATTATCGGTTTATTAAAACTTGGAATAATATTCTACAATTTTAGGACATACTAGTACGTGTATATGCACTATAATTAATATATTCATAGTTAATTTAAATATGCTTGAGAAAATTCTATTGGAAATTGCAATGTTTGGATTTAATTGATAGCAATAACTTTATTTTTAAAATAAATAGTTGAAAATTTTATCTAAATTTCTAAATCTCAATTTTGGTTGATTAAGTCAATTATTACATTTCGCGAAATTCATGCAACTTGCCTATATTACAACTGTGGTGCGCCAAATAACTTTTTTTTTGAAAGTGCTATTAAAAGAACTACCAAGTATTTTCTCATTTTTTTATTTGAAAGTACAATTCTTCTGTTAATAATGGAAAATTTCATTCAAATCGTCGCTCTCCACTGGTCATGAAGTAGTCGCAAACATGTTAGTCAACCGCAAAAAAAAAGTTAGATGACGGACCCTATATTTTAAATTTCCGTATAGGGCAGAAATGTTAAAGCAATGCATGGCCTACAAAACGTTGAAAAATTCTGTCATTACCAACATTTATATGTGTCTTTAAAGAGAAATTTTTCTTGGCTGAGTGCTTCGACAAATGATGGTCGATGTCATATGCCGCTCATGCATGTTTGCGGCTATCGTAACTCGATAGATTGCCAAATTGTTAATAATACACTATTAAACAATTTCAAGAAAATGATTTAATCTATTCAATTTTCAAAAGCAACTACTTTCACTATTAAGTTAATGTCTAGATACTTTTAACCGGACATTACACAAACTTAACGGAAGCAAGTCAAGCGATTTGAATGAAGAATGGAAATTGGTCAATTCGACCAATGGCATGAAATTAACCCAAGTTAATTTTTTAGAAACGAATCCATAGTACACAATTTATTCAGGGCATTTGCATAACATTTTGTAATCAAATAATTTAAATTATAATAATAAATTATCATATTAGCCGAATTATTATTTTGAAAAACGTTTAAAATAGCAATGATTCGAGTAACAAATTGCTCACGATATTATGAATCAAATTACAAATTGACTATGAATATTTTTGACGTTATTCATCAATTATCATGTTAAGCTCATATTTCTGATGAAAACTTCATCGTAATTCAATTGACACAGAAATAACATATGAATATTAAATTTTATAGAACTCATTAACATAAAAAACCAGAAGAGGAATAAGTTTTAGTTTAATTTTGATTTGGTCTTTTTGTTTATAAATATGAGTAGCAAATATATTTGAAAGTCAGTTCAACAAACCTATACTCATTTTTATTTGGGTTAATATTTAAATTATAATAAATTTCATGAGCAAAAATTAGAACTAACACGAATGAAAATGCTCTAACTGCTCAATTTGTTAGTAGGGCAGGTCAATATTTATTCAAAACGCACAGTTTCGATTAACGAAGAACACAACGTTGATTTGTGAAAACTAATTCAACAAAACTTATATGTAGATACATCAGATTCATACTTGGCATGGTTGCATGATTGAATATATAATTTTAACACATAAGTATAATAAAAATTTGTTGTACAGAAATATTGGCGCCAACATTTCTGAAAGTCATAATATTGTCGCTAAAATAAATAGTCATTAAACAAACTCCATTATATAACAAAAATTTAACTTTATTTTGAAGCAGCAAAGAAAGTGAGTAACCGATTTATAAATATATCGGAAGTAAAAGGCTAATAACTTCAACAGGCACGCATTCATTCCAGATTCCCAAAAATAAGCAAAAACATCTGAAGTTTTAATTTAGAATCCAGAGTTTTAAAACTATGTTGAATTGCTAAATTATAGTTTTTAAATTAAGGTGAAGAAATAATTTTTTTTATCGTAATGAAATAGAAACAGTGATGCATGGCATCGTGCATTGAGGCAATTTGCTGGAACTTTCCATACCGTAATAAAATATTTGAAAAATATTAAATATTTATTTATTTTTCAAATAAATACTGTAATTTTCCTTATTCATATTTTATAGACAAAAGATGAGAGCTTATAAATTGGCCTACGACGTTGATCTATGCTTAAATAAAATGAAGCGGCCTTAGAATAATAATCTTATTTCATATTTTTAAGAAATATAAACTAAACTAGAAATATCTAGCTTAAAATTATTTATTTTAAGTATATAAGTGAGCTTTAAAGCTTTAGATAGAATTAAAATTAAAATCCAAATAATTTTGAATATCCAAAAAAAAAAAATTGAAAATTAAAAAAAGTGAAATAAACTTTTCATGTCATTTGGAAAACGATCTTTCCGCCATTACAAGCAAAAGATTTTTGAATCATTCAAATCGGATGTATATAAGTGAACTGTAAAGCTTTAGCTAGAATTAAAATTAAAATTCGAATTACTTTCAATATTCAATAAATTTTTTTTTGGAAATTAAAAAAATTGAAACAAACTTTTTATGGCATTTAAAAAACAATCTTTTCGCCATTACAAGCATAAGATATTTGAATCATTCAAATCGGATGCGCTCAAAAATTGCCATTTTTTGCTCATTTAGTTCCGTATCTTCAAAACGGATGGACCTGACTTTGCCAATGACTAATCACGACTTCCACCCATCATTACGAATTGAATGTTTTTTGAATAATTCTAATCGGATACTCCCGTATTCTCAACAACTCGATTTTTATTTTCTGCACTCTTCGCTCCGTATCTCCAAAATGGCTGGACCTGCCTTTACCAAAAACTAATCAGCACGTCTCCGCATTAGTAGGAATCGAATGTTTTTCGAATGGCAATTGGACTGGACTGGATTTGAATGATTCAAAACGTATCACTTGTATTTATATAATGAAGAATTCGTTAATTATTTGGAAAGACAGGTCCAGCGGTTTTGGAGATCCAATAAAAAAGTTTTAAAAAAATGCAATATGAAGGTCAAAAATGATTATTAGACTTTGTGTACATAAAATTATCAGGTATCATAGACATTTGAATAATAAGTACAGATTTTGTTCCGTACCAAAAATTTTGGTTATGTTACGCTCTTTGATATTACGTCTCTAAAACAGCTACGTAACGCGATTGCTGTGAAATAAAAGAAAAACATAATTTTTAAAATAAATTTGAAGCATTTAAAAATTTCAAATTATGGTACGGGAGTTCCAGCAATTAATTTGCTTTGTGGCTGTGCATCACTAGTTAACTTACCATAGGGTAGCAAATCGAAAATGAATTTTTTTGCATATCTTCACGTTTTAAAAGTTTCTGAACATTTTGGCATACCTCATTATCAAAAAAAATGGATGTGTGTGTGTGTTTTGTGTGTCCGCATTTGTTTACGTTTTTTGGGCGCACGGATCAACCGATTTGAATAGTTCAAAAAACATTCGATTCCTATTGCTAGTGAGAAGTGCTAATTAGTTTTTGGCAAAGGCAGGTCCAGCCGTTGCGGAGATACGGAACAACGAATGCAGAAAATAGAAATCGAGGTTTTAAGAGAACGGAGTATCCGATTTGAATGATCCAAAAAACATTCAATTTGTAATATTTGGGAGAAGTGGTGTTTAGTTTTTGGCAAAGGCAGGCCCAGCCGTTTTGGAGATACCGAGCTAATTGTGCAAAATATGGCAGTTTTTGAAGGAAATAAGCATCCGAATTGAATGGATTAAAAAACTTTCTGCTTGTTTTGATAAAATCATTGCTTTTGGGGAAAAAATTATATCAAAAAATTTTTTTAAACATTTTTTTCATTTTTAGTTCAGATTTTAATTTTAATTCTGGCTAAAGTTCTAAAGCTCACTTATATACTTTAAATAAATAATTTTAACTTTGTAATTCAGTTTATATATGTAATTCTTATAAATATTGGACAATGTTACAGTATTTATAAAAATTTATTTGAAAACATTTAATATTCCTCGAACATTACGTTACGGTACGGAAAGTTCTAGCAATTTGCCTCAAGGCACGATGCCATACACAACTAGTTTCACTTTTATTTTATTGTTTTTTCATGAAACAACGTCTTCAAAAATTGAGTGTTGTATTTTTCTCCTGATTTAAATTTATTAAACATGTTGAATGACGGCATACATAAAGTGCAGAAACGTACATAATAAACATCTAATCATTTATTGTTTTTAGTTCGATTATTCGGCTGCAAATAAACATTATAATATTTATATTACACACTTACCCAAAAAATAAGATTCACCAAAACGACAAGATACTTGATCACCCCATAGCAACCGGACAACCCCATGTTGCTGATCTAGGACTTTAACACGTTCGGATGAATTTATCAACAAATTCGTAATCACTTCACTGAGAACGACTGTCACAAACCCAAAATAACTAAGTTATACACTCGATGCAGTATGGTAAACGTTTAACGCCAACGCTGTCTTGTATATTACGAATAATAACCAAGAATCATGATGATAGAATCCATGAACGAATACCATTAAAGGTAGCGTCGAGTGGGTGGAGTCGCGGGAAAAATGTTGTCAATGAATATTTTAATGACAGTTATAATTAAAGAACAATCACATCTCTTGAATCAACTGTTTTAATTTTCAAATACTATTTTAATGATCTAGAAAATGTTTTGGCTCTAAAAGCGTAAGACGCGCCGATAACAACTACCTCGAAGAGCAGATGTATATATGAAGCTTCAACGGCAGGGAGACGAGAACAAAATAGACGCACAACATTAAACACGTTTTGCCGACTGTGGGAAAGAGAAGCATGATGTTCGGTTCTAAAATAGTATGGAGAGCATTGCACTAACCGCCAAGAGATGGCTCTTGGATTTACTCGGACCTTATCTTATCGAACAAAAATTACAAATTTTATAAACAAAATTTAAAATTCATATCTTTTTAACATTCTGAAGGAGAAGTTTATATTTTCACAAAAAAATATGATTTGCTTATTTTATTTTTTCTCGACGTTTTAAGTCGTTCTGAATCGAATGAGACCGAATTTGGAAAACATATGTGCAAGTATTTGAGCTGAATTTTGACCTTTCGTCGACATTTTCTTAAAAACGGCTATACCGACATACCGATATAATTCTATACCGACTAGTGTTTGTCAGTTTTGTGTGACGATCGGCTAAGCCGTTTCTTTATAATTAGCAGAAGAGTGTAAAACTAGTGGGGCGCATGGCATCGTGCCTTAAGGCAAATTGCTGGAACTTCCCGTACTAAAAATTATTTTTTTTAAAAAAGATTAACATTTTTGTAAAAAAATTACTCTGAAAAAATTAAATTTTTGAGAAACTAAAAATTTTTGACAAAAATTTACTTTTTAACTTCCCGGAGGGTAAGTTATAGTAATCGCAAAAAAATCGAAAATGAAAATTTTTATATATCTTTACGTTTCAAAACCTTCTGAACATTTTGGCATACCTTAGAAAAAATGGATGTATGTGTATGTGTGTGTGTGTGTATGTATGTGCGTGTGTGTATGTATGTGCGGATACAAATTTTCGTCGATGATTTCGGGAACACGAATCAACCGATTTGAATAATTCAAAAAACATTCAATTCGTATTGATAAGGAGACGTGCTGATTAATTTTTGGCGAAGGCAGGTCTAGCCGTTCCGAAAATACGGGGCAAAAAGTGCCAAAAATGGTAACTCAGTTTTTAAAAGAACGGAGCGTCCGATTGTAATAATTCAAACAACGTTTCACTTGTATTGACAAGATGAAAGATTGATCAAATTTTCATGAAGGCAGGTCTAGCGGTTTCGGAGATCTAATGAAAAAAGTAAAAAAAAATGCCATTTGGCGGTCAAAAATGATCATATGTCTATGCACATCAAATTATCAAATATTTTATAGAGATTTTAACAATAAGTATAAATTTTGTTTACATTCCTATGGGTTCCGTACCAATGTTCATCCGTTAGACGGCAACGCGGCGCTTACGCGCTTTGATATTTCGTCTCTATGCAGTTAATGTAGTACGATTGTTTGAAAAAAAGTTCAGAATTTCCAAAATATGTCAAAATAAAGAAAACATTTTTACTCAATTTTTTTTTTTCAAAAAAAGTAATTTTTTATCAAATTTATAATTTCTCAAAAATCTAATTTTTTCGAAGTAAAATTTTTTCAAAAATGTTTATCGTTTTTAAAAAAATAATAATTTTTGGTACGGGAAGTACCAGCGATTTGCCTCAAGGCACGATGCAATGCGCCCCACTAGTTTTGAATCGAATGAGACCAAATTTGGAAAAAGTATGTGCGAGTATTTGAGCTGAATTTTGACGTTTTCTCAATAACGGCTATACCGACATGCCGATAGAATTGCTACTCTATACCGACTACTTAGGGTTTATCAGTCTTGTTCGAAAATCAGCCAAGCCATTTCTTTATAATTAGCAGAAAAGTGTAAAATATTTCGGCCACCTTTTAGCCCACAATCTTAAATCGATTTTAAAAATTCAAAATCCGTTCGAGAGATATTGGTTGGACATACCATTGATTAATTTTTGGTAAAGATCAGCCGGATCGTTTTTTCCGTAGTTAAATGTGAAAAATAGGTTTGACGATTATGGTGAACTTTGTATGACGATATATTTTATAGTCTGAAATAATATATTAAAACATTTTAAGCCGTCAGTGTTTCGTGGATGACTAATTAGTTGACGTACACGCTTAAATAAAAATCATCATTAAAAATCCGAAATGGATGAAGTAAAATAGTTAAGCAAACCAATTTTATTTATATAGTTGCAGATATTATAAGTATGTTTGAAAGATATCAATTGAAATTCGCATTGATTAATTTTTAGTGAATTCAAAAAAAATATTTTTGAAATAAACAGTTGAACAGTTTACATACCACATTTTGGCTAAAAGCAAATTATTCCTGATTTAAGCGCAATAACTTAAAAAAACTGTTTATTTTGATTAAAAACGCCAAAGCTAAAAATAGCAAAATAAAAGAATATTTAGATTAAGAAATGCCAACAAAATAATATTAGAAGTTTTCATAAAACGATGCATAAACGATTAGTATGTAGAAAATTGTCTTGTACTAGTTAATAATAAATAATAAATGATAGTCTGCCTGAAGGCAGGTCCATGGTATACCTGTGTATGCTTTTTTTGTAGAAATTTACCAAAATATTTCCTCCTGGTTGCCCCCTGAGTGGGCAAAATATTGCAGAATGTTCTTAAAAATATGCTTGCTTACTGCAGGATTCTGCAAAAAGAAACACAAAAGATGAAAAAGGATTGCAGAACTTCGTGGTACAAGCCATAATGTAAAGGGCTAGAAAACCGATTGAAATTGTAAAATTTTGATTATCATGCCGAAGAATTAATACATCGTAAATTTTGACGCTTTTTATTTTTCTCCGTTTTTTTCTGCAGTTTGACCCCAGACTTTCACTCTAGATTCATATTCAGCGGCAAAAACTACGTTGAAATTTTGTAACTTTTTTAGACTATATGTGTGTAATTTTAGCAAATTCCAAATGAAGCATAATACTCAAAAACATATAGTTGTGCTTATTATTATTTATGTCTACAATAGTTTATTATTATTTTCAGTAAATGCTATTACATTTATAGGTAATAAGCTGTTGCGTATTCATGGAAGGCCTTGGCAACATTACAGCTGCCACATAATATGAAGGGTCTTGTATGGTTTTTTACAAATATATTCATACTTTTAGTAAGTTTTTATAATGAATTTCTGGATTATAAAATATTAAAATAGAATAAAAATTATAAGGCATCTTATTTTGCAAATATTGAAACTCTATATAAACCAATTCAATTTATAATGCAATGCCACATATTAAATTAATAAAAAATGTGAATTATTTATTTAAATCATATAATGACATGAATAAATAAAATTATGAATAATTGCCATAAGGTATGAATATGATAAGGACAATATATTCAAAGCAGTATTACACGTAACGGTCAACATTCAACCGTCGAACTTATTTGAATTCTTCCTCGAAATTGCTATTCATTTCGTGTTCAAGCTGAGGTTATAATTAACAACAGGGTAGTAAAACGTAAAAGAAATATATAAAAAGTGGTGCATGACAACGTGATTTAAGGCAAATTGCTGGAACGTCCCGTACCGAAATGAAATATTCGAGAAATATAAAATGTTTTCAAATAGATTATTATAAATACTTAAATTTTTATTATTCGTATTTAATAGACAGAATATAAGAGCTTATAAATTGAAAGACGACATTTATATATGTTTATATGAAATGTAAGTAAACAAAACTTGATGAAGCGGTGGCGTTAGAATCTTATCTCAATTTCTAAGGATTATATAATTAATGTAATTAATAATCCTTATACTGAGTTTCAAAGTTAGAATAATTTATTTGATGCATGTAAGTGAGCTTCAGAACTTAATCTAGAATTAATATTAAAAACCGAATCATTTTCGGTATTCAAAATAATATATATTTCTTGGAAATTAAAAAAAAGAGATTTCGTAAAATAAAAATATTTTTTTTTTGCTTTCCCCAAAAACAAATTGTTTCTTCCCACTGTCAACACAATGAAAATGTTTTTTCGAATCATTCAAATTACATGTTTCGTTCTCTTGCACATTTTGCACCGTATCTCCGAAATGGCTGTCTTTGCCAAAAACTAATCAACACGTCTCCTTATGAATTGAGATCAAATGCTTTTTGAGTCATTCAAATCCGTTGAATCGTAATCGTGGACGAAAAATTGTATGCTCTCATAAGCACACGCACCACACATAGATACATTATTTTTTTCTAATGTATGCCAAAATGTTCAGAAACGTTTGAAACATAAAGATATGCAAACATTTTCATTTTCGATTTTTGGACAATTACTATATACTTACCCTACGGGAAGTTAAAAAACAAAAAAAAACATATGTTAAATTAATGCTTTACATTTTTTTTCCTGTAGGGCAAGTTATAGTAATCGCAAAAAAATCGAAAATGAAAATTTTTATATATTTTTACGTTTCAAAGGTTTCTGAACATTTTGGCATACCTTAAAAAAATTTATGTATGTGTGTGTGTATGTGTACAATTTCGGGAACACCGATCAACCGATTTAAATAATTCAAAAAACATTCTATTCATATTGATAAGGAGACGTGCTGATTAATTTTTGGCGAAGGCAGGTCCAGCCGTTCCGAAGATACGGGGCAAAAAGTGCCAAAAACGGTAACTCAGTTTTTAAGAGAACGGAGCGTTCGATTTTAATAATTCAAAAAACATTTTACTTGTATTGACAAGATGAAGAATTGATCATAAAGGCAGGTCTAGCGGTTTCGGAGATCTAATGAAAAAAGTAAAAAAAAATGCCATTTGGCGGTCTAAAACGATCATTAGACATATGCACATCAAATTATCAGATATTTTATAGAAATTTTAACAATAAGTATAAATTTTGTTTGCTCGAAGTGGGTATCAAACCGGGAATGCTTTACATGTTAACTACATTTGCAGCTACAAAGACTAAATATTTTTTAATAACAGTATACCTGAATACTTTTTTAAAGCAGCTATACATAATGTATTTAAAATTACATATGTATTTTTAATACCTACATAACTACTAGATTTACGTAAGTAAAATTCATAATATAAAAATATATAAAAAACGGTATTTTGCAGTTGGCATATTTATCGTGAATTCTGTGTCACTAGGTTTTATGTG